CCCCCCCCCCATGTTTGTACGAGCCCTTAGGATTACCAGAACTTCCAATTTCTGCCATTTCGATGGGTAGAAATCTACAACCTGTCTACATTTCCTATTTTTCTGATTGCACAGTTGGATATGCCTTTACCTGCTCTTGGCTACCCGGGTATACGGTTGAAATTTTGATGTGGTCAAACCTATCAGCCCCACCCCATAGAGCTTCAGCGTTTTTGGTGTTGTTTGAGACCTTCTTCCCCACGTTAAGGTGGCAAAAATTGCCTATCCTTTTTACAATTATTTTTAGAGTTTTGTCTTTCACGTTGAGATTTTAAATCCATTCGAACTTTAATTTTGTACGTGGTTTATATCAGAGAGGATAGGCTAACTTATTCTAGGAGATTAGAAGCCCTGAATTCTTTAAGGTCTCTCGAAGCAACAGAAGTTCATCTCTGGCCTATGCCACATATCCGCCATTGGTGGACACTGCCAATTCACTGTCCAGAACGAGTGATCTGACCCCAAAACACTGCAAATGGGCTGGAACGGGTAACCCTTCCCTGTGTCCAGCAGGAGAGGACCCGGAAACACGTGGTGAAATGTATAAATCATGAACACCTGAGGAGAGATCTAACGCATCTGGGTTTTTTCCTGGATTCCATGCAGTCTTCTCCAAGGCATCGTAAAATAATCCGTTGTTTTCCTTCGAGTTGGTGATGCTACCTCTGTCACACCAAGGACGCGTTTCTGGACTCATATTTGGTTCTGTTAGCTTCCTTCTGTCTCTGTTTCTGTATCCATTCTGCGCCTGGCGACGTAGTGGTTTTGTAACATGTCTGGCGGGGGGGACTCTCTCTGTCTTTGCTTTTATTCCTTTGTAAACACTTCAAAATCAGTTTTTCAAGTTTCCTAAAGAATCCCATTGGGATTTAATTGAAGTTTCATTACACTTACAAATTAAGTTGGGGAAAATTGGTCATCTTTGGAGTTGTAGGTCATCAGCTTTTCTTTTTTTTTCTTTTCTTTCTCTCTCTCTCTTTTTTTTTTTAGCTTTTCTTGTTTTATCTTTAATAGGGTCTGAAAAATTTTATTTATTGAGGTCTTACTCTGTTTTTGCTAGATTACTTCCTAGATAGATTTATAGATTTTCCTGTAGCTATCAGTATTTTATTTTCTATATGTTATCTACTTGTTTATTGTGAATGTGTAGGAGCATAAGTGATTTTGATGTGTTGATGTTATATTTGGGAACACTGAAAGGTCTGTCCTGTCTGAGGAGTTTTGATTCTTTTGGGCTTTTCTATGGAAGTGATCAAATGACCTGCTAATAATGGTAATTTGGACTCTTCCCTTTTGATCCTTATACCTCATGTTATTTTTTTTCTCATTTTTTTTCTTGTCCAAATTGTCAGCCAGGTATCCAAGACTATGTGGAATAAGCATAAATGATGTAGGCTGTTTTGTCTTATTTGCATTTATTTAATAGGACAATGAGTGAAGTGTGTCCGTATTCGCTGTGTGTCATAGTAGAATATACACTGTTTTCTCTGAAAGAGTTCATGTAATATTGGAGCCATCTGTTCCTTGAAATGAATTTTTGCACAAAAAAATCCATAGAAATATCTGGGCCAGTGTTTGGGGGAAGATTTGTAAATCACTAATTGTTTTAGTAGTTATCTAATGATTAAGACTTCTTTTTTCTGTTAGTTTCTTTTTGGTTTAAATATTTTTGAGATACTGACATACAGTGAAGGATACAAGTCTTATGTGCATAATTCGGTGAATTTTACAAATGTACCTGCCCATGTAATCCACCCCCCCCCCCCACGAAGAACTAGAACATTTCCATCGCCCTAGAAAGATCTCTATGGCTTTCTCACCCGATCTGAATCCTTCCCCAGACTCACCACTGTTCTTATTTCTTTCCCTACAGATTACTTTTCCTAATCAATAAGGTCATCCAAATGGAACCAAGCATATGTAGTCTTTGCCTGGAATAATAGTTTTTAGCTTCATCTGTGTGGTGGTGTATACTCGTAGATCATTTATACTCCATTTTCTATGGTATTGTACTGCGTGAATATACTCTTTCCAGATTTGGGCTACATGCATAAGCTTCTACGAGCCTTCCCAAGCAAGCTTCTTGTAGGTTTGTGTTTTCATTTATCCCAGGAAAATATATTGAAGAGGTCATAAGGTAGGTAAATATTTAACTTTGTGAGTGACTTCCATATCGTAGGAAAGGTATAGATATTCTAGCTCCTCATTGAGTGTATTCAGTCATTCATATTAATAAGTTTAGTGGTTTTGTAGTAATGTCTTATAAGAATTTTATTTTCTTGGTAACTAATGATGTTAAGTACTTTTTTTATGTGTTTATTGGCCATTTATATGTCTTCCTTTATGAAGAGTTTGATTTGATTAAGACTTCTGTGTATTTTTCAAAAACAAACTCAAAATGGATGAAAGAACTAAAGGTAAGACAGGAAGCCATTAAAATCCTAAAGGAGAAAGCAGACAAAAACCTCTTTGACCTTGGCCGCAGCAACTTCTTACACGACATGTCTCTGGAGGCAAGGGAAACAAAAGCAAAAATGAACTATTGGGACCTCATCAAGATAAAAAGCTTCTGCATGGTGAAGGAAGCACTCAGCAAAACTAAAAGGCAACCGACGGAATGGGAGAAGGTATTTGTAAATGACATATCAGATAAAGGGTTAGTATCCAAAATCTATAAAGAACTTATCAAACTCAACACCCAAAAACAAATAATCCAATGAAGAAATGGGCAAAAGACATGAATAGACACTTTTCCAAAGAAGACATCCAGACAGCAAACAGACACATGAAAAGATGCTCAACATCACTCATCATCAGGGAAGTACGAGTCGAAACCACCTCGCACCTGTCAGAGTGGCTAACATTAACAACTCAGGCAACAATAGATGTTGGTGAGGATGCAGAGAAAGGATCTTTTTTGCACTGCTGGTGGGAATGCAAACTGGTGCAACCACTCTGGAAAACAGTATGGAAGTTCCTCAAAAAACTAAAGATAGAACTACCCTATGACCCAGCAATTGCACCACTAGGTATTTATCCAAAGGATAAACGTGTGCTGTTTTGAAGGGGCACATGTACCCCAATGTTTATAGCATCACTATTGACAATAGCTAAAGTATGGAAAGAGCCCAAATGTCCATCGACTGATGAATGGATAAAGAAGATGTGGTCTATATATACAATGGAGTATTACTCGGCAATCAAAAAGAATGAAATCTTGCCATTTGCAACAACGTGGATGGAACTAGAGGGGATTATGCTAAGCAAAATTAGAGAAAGACAAATATCATAGGACTTCATTCATATGAGGAATTTAAGATACAAAACAGATGAACATAAGGGAAGGGAGCAAAAATAATATAAAAACAAGGAGGGGGACAAAACATAAGAGACCCTTAAATACAGAGAACAAACTGAGGGTTGCTGGAGGGGTTGTGGGTGGGGGATGGGCTAAATGGGTAAAGGGCATTAAGGAGGACACTTGTCGGGATGAGCACTCAGTGTCATATGTAAGTGATGAATCACTGGATTCGATTCCTGAAATCATTATTGCACTATAGGCAATAATGATGTAAATTTAAAAAAAAAAGACTTCTGTGTATTTTTACTTGGGTTGTCATTTTATTATTGCTTTGTAGGAACTTTTTATCTCTACTGGGTCCAAGTCCTTGGTCAGATGTAGGTATTAGAAATACGCACTTCCCCCGTGATCTCGTATTTCCACGAAACTGTCAGTCTCCCTGGACTCTGTGGATGGTTTTAAGACCTGGGTCCTGGCGTGTTCTCTGTGAGCTGGACCAAGATAGAATGGAAGCAGCTTGGGGCAGATGTTTGGTAAGACAGTCTGCACTCCACTGTTCTCATTT